TTCACGCGTGACATAACCGGTTGTTATCGTCGACGTCATCATTATCAACACCATAATCCACATCGACGACGTCAATGTCATCATCAATGACCACCGTTCATGTAACCACTAAATCATTTACGTCACAAGGAGCAACGCCATTATCGCCTAATCAAATACATCATCGTCCAACAATCGTCGATCTCAGCAGCAGCATTTCCAACATCACCACTGTCGGTGCATCATCATCTTCGTCAACGTAATAAGTTCCACCATCGCTGTTGTTGGGTACACTCAGCCTCATCTCGTTTCTGCCCCACAAAACAAACAATACTCCATTCAATAGGTCATACAGCTTTATTTGCGCAGTCTTGAAATCAGTTACAGAAACAGGAAAAAAATCATGTACAAAATCAGATAAATATACTGTAACATTCTCTTAATGACACTTTATCATTGACAAAACAAAATCCAGTAAAGTACATCGCGATATCATAGACTGTGGCAAGTGGAACGGACTGACTGGGTAAGTTTAATAATACATCTTTGGGGTCTGTATATCCAAATCAACGGCCCTGAACAAGCTTTCAATAAATACAGGTTTCCATGTGTAGTTTCTTCGTAAATTGTTATTTGTTTTAATCGTACTTGCGATTGTGACTGATTGTGAACACTGTGACATTTGTGAACGACTATTTCATTGAAATTCATGTTTGGACTTATGACCCAACAACACGGAGTGAACATCTCCGTGTCTCGGTGAACAGATTTGAACAAGCTGGAAAATAGCGAATAACATTTGAAGACCCACCATTTTATGTTCGTGTTGGGGTGATTTCTAGGATTTTCATTAAACGTAATGGAACCTGGATTCCTCTACAAAAGTGTTGAGGAAATCAGTTATTCTCAAAATAAATGCAATATAAAAACGGTCACACCTGGATGGTAAAACAGATATACGTGACAAAGAATATTTTTTTCTCAAAAACAATCCTAAGTTTCATAACCGACCCCACCCCTATTCGGCCCCCAACTCAAATCCCACCCCACCCAACAGAAATAAAATGAACGGTCCCTCAGAATGAAACAAAAACAGAATATCAAATATATCAAAATGACAAATATTCTCCAGTCCGTCATCTAGATAGGTGAGCGAGTGAGTAGTGTTTGACGCACCACTCCTCCACATGTTCTCAGCGCACGGTATTCACGAGTCCATATGCCCACTGTATACACAAAGCGTTGGTAAATACGTCATTTTATTCACATAAAGAAAACTGTCTCACGAAATGCCAAATCCTGTTGTTTATACAGTGTATAACAATGAATATTTACAAATAAACAACGGACATTTGGTCCCTTTGAGATGTAAACAATTTGTAACAAAACAATGCTATGTAAACAAACTTTTGGTTGGTACTGTACAGCATTATGATGATGACGTCAGTACATTCATGATGATGATGACAATATACGTGTGTTATTTACAGATTAAAATATCCATGTCTTTGATTAGATCATTGACGTCTCTATAAATAGTCCTACACGTTTTGATTACAGAAATACGGTTCAATAAGGTTATATTATTATTATTACATCATATTTTCATATTTCGGTTTATTTCGTAAATTCTAGTTTTAAAAAACCACAACGGCCTTATCTAAATGATCGATTAAACTAAACAATCTAATTTAACGGAAAATAGATCTTTCCATATGTGTCATAGGGTTTTTCACACCTGCAGGGGGTGGTAAAGATTGACCGAATTCTTTAAAACTAACACATCACCTGAGACGCCACTCCAACGAGCGACATGAATGCATAGGTTTCGTTTCGGATATCTAACATTCCACATTTGACACACCCAATGACATGCGCAATAGCGTCGGTATGTTGCGGTCATATTCAAATAAACCGGCGATCATGAAGACAGACTTCAAGGATCAAAGCTACAAACAAATATGATTAATTGTTTAAATAAGCATATAGGCGACAAATGTAAAGTTAATATATGGAATGTGTAATCTCAGAAGTATTTAATAAAGTAACGAAAGTTAATATTGGGATGTCAAAAACGAAAACGGAACGTCTGTAGGCCATATCAGGAATATGAAAATAGAGATTTCGCTCTGAAAGTCCCGAGGATAATTAGTTTTCATAGTGTCCAAAAAGGCTGCATAATGTGTTCGTATTAAAAGAACAGCAATCTGGATCTTCTCGGGTCATATTTCATTCAATAATAGTCATTACCTCAGTTCCGTTAAGACAATTTTATATCATTTGTCACTGCTGATAGTTATACAGCTAACTATGGTCAATTTATACTCCATCCATACAGCTCTGAAGTACGTTGCTCGTTTTATTGACATCACATGTTAATAAATTTCTACTGAGTCGTTAGTAAGTTCAAGCATACAGCATAATATATTGAAGCGCACGTAAAATATTTGGAAAAGGCGTCATGTCATGAATAATGAGTGCTCATAAATTTTGTTCGATTCGACGGACATGATGTTGGCTAAGAGTTCCTATGTACAAACACAAACAGAAGAGTTACTTAAATGCATTTTTCTTTCTTTGCGAGTTTCTTAAGAAAAACGTACAAGGGATGTTATTCTTTAAACTCCTGCAATCACTACTGGTAGAAACAACATGTAACTAAAGCTGTCTAATCCGGACATAATGAAGGCTGATACAGCGGCCTGAGCCGAACAAAAAAATAACGCGAACTCACTTCCTTGTTCGAGCGTGCAGTGAGTTTTGGATATAACAAATTATACTACTCAACTTTTGCTGAGGATCACACCTTTGAGTAAAGACGACAACTTTTTGTCTTTGGCAAATTCGAACTATGAGTTCGTTTAACCCGGAGTTTATCTTTCTAGTTTCCTCAAACATAATTATGTCCCGGGCGTTATTGAATGAATATACAAATCAGAAAAATTATCCTACCTTTCCTCATACCGAGGCACATATGTGAAACCTCGTTCTTTCCTGAAATATACTGACCGCCTTTTTGAAAAGAAGATCTAAAAATGGATTCTTAGAAGCCAAAAAGGAAATTAAAGGCTATTTGATCTTCACAGTAACTTTCCCCGCCTATATATTTAACCTACGCGTCAGTTTGATGAAATCGGTAGTAATAGGCGTGAGTGAGAGAATATCATTTTACGCCGCATTTAGCAATATTCAAAAAGAATCACGACGAGGGGCGCCAGAAATAGGCTTCACACGTATACCATGTAGGGTGTAGAACCCTGGGCATAAGCGTGACGAGCGAACGCATTAACCACTAGGCTACCCCACCGCCCAAATATTAGAAGGATGTATAAATCGTATTGACGTTATCTTATGGAATTGCGAAACACTTCCTACTGTTTATAATCAGCTGGTTGTATCGTGTTCGTGAGTCCATTATCAATCGGAACGCGTTGACGCTCGCTCGCTCGGCCCAGGGCCCTCTGACAGTGGTTTTCGCAATACCGGGGATAACTGTTTCCAAACCTCAACGCCATGAAATTTAAGGAGGTATTATGACGCAATCTGCATCCTGGTTCTGCCAGGGATGCAATCAAAACAGTTAATTATCTTCACACGGTTATAAACTGGGAAGGTATCGCGTGATGGAAACATATTACAGTGATCAGAGGGAACAAATGTATAGGAATGAAAACAGGCAGCCCTTGAGATTTGTACAGTACGTTACGAGTAAGATGATTCACTGTGATTGTCATAACAACGTAAATCTGAAATCAATAACAAAATAACTATTCATACGATTACACTGGGGTACAAATCGGTATACAGACTGCAGGGTTCACATTCCCATGTCTATCAATTCTGGAAATACTGAAAATATTCGGTAATATGAACGATGGAAATAATGGCAGATTTCATTGCTTGCTGATAGGTAAATGAATGTACAGTAAACTACGGTTATAACGAACACGCTTATAACGAACTAACGGATATAACGAACTAATTTTTTAGTCCCGACTATTTGCTGTAGTAATACTGTATATATGCTTATAACGAATTACGGTTATAACGAACTAAAATTAGTAGTCCCTTTGAGTTCGTTATAACCGTAGTTTACTGTACTATCTCTTACACGTGAGTATAAGTTACAAATATCAAAGGTGTTCTCTTACGGCAGATGAAGTAGACAACGTAGGAGTATTTTGGTGCATCTTTCGTGTACCAGAATACAAATCTATTGTCTCTCGTTTTCAATGTTTGAGCACAATCGATGCGATGAGAGAATCTAGTAAGAGAACAGATTTAGGTTAACTGACAAGGAGATATCTACAAGCACGCCCTTGATATCTGTGGCCTGGCTTTGACGCCTTCCTACCGTTGGAGAGAGTGGGAAATGGCTTCACACATTGTACCCATGTGGGGAAACAAATGGAGTTGACTGACCCCACGGAAAATGCGAGAAACAAAAGACTTTTGTTTGGTCTTGGAGAAGCTGGTATAAATGACTGATGGTGACATGGTGATTGTTAAAGCAGCATGATAATTATATAATTTCAAACACTGAAAATGAGACATATCGGGAACCAAATAATTGTATAAATGAGATGATGTGTAAGGTGACCAGTACTAATGAAAACGTAAAAAAACGAGGACTAGATCTACGTAATTCCGGTATTATAAAGGGATTCTCTTATCACGTGACTTCTACCAAACTTGCAACCATATGCCTGGCCTGTCTGACAGTATTACCTGTGGTTCCGTGCGTAATGGCAAGAATTGCTAGGTGGTAGATTGTAAATCAACAGGGTATGAAACACCCAAAAATTTCAGCCAGACCACAGGACTGGCTAGCTGAAATACTTGCCAGCCCTGACCAAAACCTGCCTGCCCACTATAATCATATGTTTCTCAGGATTATTTCATTAAAAATATGAAAACTGATTGCTTGTAGCATAAGCGCATCGCTAAATGTTAGGTTGTCTAAAAGCTAACTGGGTTTCTTTTTGGTTACATTTTATCATTCATCTTTACATGTGAAATAATGCTTATCATCGGGAAATATTTAGAATATTTTCACCTATGAAATATAACCCGACCGTCGGGCAGGGGGATTTGAAAATCTGACAGCCCGAGTTGAAATCAACCCGTCTCGGACGGTCGGGCAGGCAGGTATTTCGAACGCTGAAATCAACGATGAATGGTTAATGACTAGGTAACCTTCGATTACATTCATAGACATAACAGACAGTGGTATCCAATCGATTGTCAAGAGTTATCCTGCCTTACAGCCATGACCTTTATCAGGTTTGCTCAGCTCCATTGCTGCGCGTGCTACATGTAATGTAGATATGAAAGAGGGCAGCAACGATGCGTCACTGTTGGGGATTAGGCAGTCGTGTTCGTTGTTCAAATGAACCAAATTAATACTCAAATGACCTTTTGGTATCTTACTGACGAAAAAACCCGATCCAAATGTCTCTTCTTCGCTTTAATCAGGTTGAGATCCTTCGTCATGAGCTGTATAGTATTTGTGTGGAGATTTGGTTGTTAACAGAAGCTTAGCTTCAAGACAGTCAAACGCAGCAAGAATATTTACTTTTGCTCAGCAAGGGGAATGTCGATTTTCTTCGATTACTTCTCTAATAGCCAAGGAGATGACAGTTGAAACGTGAATTGCCTTCGAATCGCGGTTCCCTCTCTCACACTTCTGACACAAAACACTACCCTTCCAGCTCACGCGGCAATTTAAGTTTTAAATTGGAAAATAAATTGGGTAATTAAAAAAATTAAGGGATAAATTATCCGTTTTTAAGACCCAGAGATTGGAAAAAACTGTTAAAGGTATTTCCTACATCGCTTAAAGTGCCTTTACTGCTTTCATTGCGGGCTTGATAACAATTGCTGTACCAATGCCTTATATCGGGGATTTGTTCTGGAATTCTTCGTTATAACGCATTCCACCAGTTTTTATTCCCCGCACTAAGTATGAAGCCAGGATATGCCAGGATAAGCCAGGATGTGTATTCCAAAAGGTTATTAACCAAGATGATTACTGCCAGACTTAGCGGAGACATATCAATACAAAGTTTGGACTAAAGCTATTACAAGTTGGCCGACTAGCAGCATCTCAGACACGGGGCATCCGGGTACTCTGGGTCTTCTGTCAGAGTCAGGGAACCCGGATGGACACGGGACGGTAAAATTCTCTCACATTAAGGCTACGACAAAAACAGCTTCCATATAAGGCAAAATGTGAACCAAAAACACCCATTAAGCATTAACAGATACAAATTCCACGTTCTTTTGAAACATCAGATATATTATTATACACATATTCTTGAAAAATATCCACCATCTGAGCTCTGCATACTTCAGAGTCTAACCTTGCCACCAGTCAACTGTCAATGTCTTCGAAATGAGGAAGACATTGCGCGCACGTAATGTCCGTGCGTTTGGGGGCAGTGGAAGACATGTATGGTGCACCGTTCTTGTCAAAATTCGGGATCGCAGGCCACTAAAAACTATGGATGAGCTGTTGTATTTGCCCGAGTAGCGGGAGGCACCGATTGGTAGAGGTCGAAGAACTGCCGGTTCCTGCTTTTATGACGTCTTTGGTCCCTTTGATTGTACTATCATCCTCATCTTTTCATTGGCAGCATTAAACACATATATCCAACTCCCGGTTCTGAACGGAAGAAATACGTCTCCTGTACACATTTTGGCGTCTAAATAATGGTCCCGTAAAAGCATTTGATGCGGGGTCCATCTTCAGCACCAATATCAGATACATTCCATCGTATCCTCTCTTCAACTACGACCTCTGTAGTCCAGTGATTTATCACATATGTAATGGCGTATTACACGTAACATGACCCCTGACGTCATACGTTTGAAGTCACAGGTAGCGGGGTAGACGCGGGGTATATTTCGGAATTGTTGGACGTTTCCCAATCAATGTAATCCCTTTTCCTTTTTGTTGGTTTCTCAATGGGGCGATCGGATGACAGACTTATGTCATCGAAATCGTCGCCATATTTATCTCTCCAGCTGAGATATCCTCCAAACGCCACACCCAACTGCAGGATCCCGCCAACTCCTGGCAGTGCGGGTCCCCATTCCAGCTTGTACACATCCTTATCAAGCATGGCACAGAATATTATCACTCCTACTCCAGCGGCAGCTCCTGAAATGGAAGAAGATAGTGGTATGAGTGAGTGAGTGAGTGAGTGGTATGAGTGAGTGAGTGAGAGAGCGAGCAAGTTGTGTTTAACGTCGCTTTTACCAGTTTTCCAAGTGATGCAGGTCTCAGACATTTACCACTTCAGTGAAACCCACGAGCACGGGTATGGTGCTGACAAACCTAGAAACATAATCAGCGCGAACCGGGATTCGAACCGACAATCATAGGTTTCGGGCGTGCCCAACGGCGAATATTTTTTTCGTTTGCGGCGCATTAGACGACTGGGTCACCCGTGTCCCCAGTTTACAATGATGAGTGAGTGGGTGAGTTTGGTCTGACGCTACTTTGTAACACTATTTCCGTTACATCACGAAGCTTGTTGTGGGAGGGGGGGCCTGAAGTGATGCAAGTCTTACACTTTACCTCTGTTGGGAAACCCACGAGCACGGGCCTCGAACTGACAAACCTAGAAACATAATCTGGGCGAACTGGGATCCGAACGCGCGAACATAGTTTTCGGGCACGCCTAAGGGGCGCAACTCTGCGAAGCGATTTGCGGCCTCTAAGGCGACTGGACCACCCGTGGTCTCCGTCTTCAAAAGGATTATCCTTTAAAACGTTTGTAAAAGGTTGATATTAAACGATTGCAATGAATACCTTTAGAGGAGGAACGCTGCGGTATGATCGATATAGCACAAAAACCGTGGGAGGCGATCTTCCTGGACTGGAGTGGGGGAGGTGGTTGTGTACTAACATGTTGCTGTAACACTACGTTGTAAGAGAGGGTGTCACTCGACAATGTCCTGCCAGGATGTTTTTGTTCGTGTTCTTGTCGATCCCGTTACTTACAGACTGCCGCGATGAAACTGTAAGGTCACTTAAAAACCGCCTCGCTGTAGCTGTACGATTACTTACAAACCGCCTCGTTGTTTTGGTAAGATTACGTACAATCCACCTCGATGCAGCAGTAAGGGTACCTACAAGCCGCGATGCAGCTGTAAGATTAATTACCAACCTCCGCGATGCAGCTGTAAGATTAATTACCAACCTCAACGATGCAGCTATAAGATTACTCACAGTCCTCCGCGATGCAGCTGCAAGATAACTTACAGGCCTCCGCGATGCAGCTGCAAGATTACTTACAGGCCTCCGCGATGCAGCTGCAAGATTACTTACAGACTGCCGCGATGCAGCTGCAATATTACTGCGGCGTGAAACACCACTGACTAACTTACACAATCCCAGATCTATTCCTGGACGATTCGGTGTCGACGCAAAACGCCACGTTTACTCTCTCTCTCTCAGATCTGTTTTCCCACAATTCGTTGTCTTTATAAGACGCCTTTTTTCAGGCATGAATCTAATAATGAGGACACATCAGACCCGACTTTCGATTGTTGTGAGTCTTTCAGTTCCCGTAGGAACATATTCATGAAACACTGAGTGAGTGAGTGAGTGAGTTGGGGTTAACGCCGCTTTTAACGGTATTACAATTATATCGCGGCATGTCAGCTTAATGTGGGAGGAAAGCCCGAAGTGATGCAGGTCTCGGACGTTTTCCACTTCGGTGAAACCCCCGAGCACAGGTATTCATGAAACAGAAGACAGCACGGTACTTACCTCCAACAGCTGCGAAGGTCAAGTACGCGGCCTTGAGATGTAACGTTTTGACCTGGGTCCGCATCATGAGGATGATTTTGATGATGTATAATATCAGGGCGATAAACCCCGTCACAAATCCTGGCGTCACGAAACACTTGGAGACCATAAGTAAAGAAGGCACCCTGTCGAAATCTGAAACAAAAATTCAAACAATTACGTTTTCGCTCAAGAATCTTCTAATGGACATATTGTTACACTGGAAGATGATAAGATGTAAGATGACGGAGTGTTTCTCGGGTATAGACGTGTCGCTTTAAACCCTGTGCATTAGACATTTTTACTTCCAATAAAACAACATTGTTCCAATTTCCTGTGTCAGTTGAAGCATACCTTGTTATCAATATAACAGATTTCTTGATAACTGACATTGTGTTATTGGGCCAAGGTCAGTGTATGCCAAGTTGTGTTTGATAGTTTTCTTGGTGGGAAAAACAGTCCATGCCATCACTTTTGTTTTAAATAAAATATAAAAATCCTATCACCCTCTTCACTTTTGCGAAAAATATATTCTTGTATGGAGCCTCTCCGATCAACTTGAGGCTCTATTACCTAAAGGTGAGGTGAGGTGAAATTGGGTTTAACGTCGCGTCCAAGATTATTGCACTTATATAGCGACGTGCATGCACGTGTGTGTGTGTGTGTGTGTGTGTGTGTGTGTGTGTGTGTGTGTGTGTGTGTGTGGCTGCTTGTACTAGACCGGACTGATGCCGATTTATAGTGCCAGCACACTGAGATACCATGCCGCAGTTTAACATGAATACCCCTCTCAGACACAGTATACTGACTTCGAGCCGACACCTTAATCCCGAGCGCCAGACAGGGTAACAACAAGTACCATCTTTAAAGGTCTTTTGGTATGACGCGGCCGGGGATCGAACCCCGGACCTTCCGCTCTCCGGGCGGACGCTCTACCTCTAGACCACGGAGGTGGTCCCTATTACCTAAACCTGACCCCCATTTGACTTATTGATTGATTCTGTCTCTGATCGAGAACTATCTACGGCTATCGATCTTACAGCTCGAATACCCCACTATCTCGACTTCCTACTTTGAACTCGAGTTCAGTAAGTAGTGGTTTAGTGAGTCAAAATTAATTCGGTAACATTTCAGCCATATTGAACAAGAATAATATCCATATTTATAACTAGTCATATTAATAACTTAATATCACATCCATTAACTACAAAGGGTAGCAACCTCCAGTCACACACCGTTTCCCGCCATCCCTTTTAACGCTATACAAAAACTGTCTGACAAAGTGGTCCGTTTGTACTCAATGGCGTATATTCGCCATCCCACGTCATGTCAATATCGCCTCAGTATGAAATAGGGTACTGGTAAACGGAAGCCTGACAACAAGGTTTGCTTTTAGTCTTGTACGCGATAAAATGATCAACCATGTCATAAATAGTTCTATGTGCATGGAAAGTGTTGAATAACCAACAGACTGATCAGTGTTACATTACAGCAGGACCGTTAAACTAAATCTCACTGATTCAGTCATCTCTAAGCTCAAATACTCCTGTCACGCTTTCTTTCAAAATATTGCTCCAAGTCCCATAATCACAAATATCACTTTGTTCATCGATTCACTTCCCCGCTAAGCGTAGTGATTCCTAATGCTGTCAATCCCAATTTTAGATATTGCCGTATTTCGAACAAAATGTGAAGCATAAAATACATTACTGTCAAAATCTTGAAGATTTCAAAGGCTAGTAAACGCTTAGAAGGCATCCGTTACCAGTTAACGATATTGCGCTTTCAGCAGAGGGCCGGAGGCCTGATTGACCGAGGACAGGGCGCCAACAACGGCTTGTTTAGAAAAACACAGAAATCAATAAACATGAATAGGTGCAATATGTTCCAAATCAATGCCCACAATGTGTCTATAAACTAATTTCATTCTTGAACGTCAGCGAAACCCGCTTGTATCGTTGCAACATTGATTCGTCGTTCGCGTCAACGGTAACAGTTGTTGGTTTGTGTCTAAATGTTTCTCTTTTACAAGGTTGGATCCTGTCCAGTGTATTCCTAACGTGAAACTGGAGACAAAACGGGAGAGCTGGGAAACACGAAAAACACAACCGATCATCGAATACTGTACAATATGTTGGTGGGACGAGAGTGTTATGCACGAGTTCTGGTGGGTCTAACAAAGGGAGACAACCGGTGTGAGATTTGTCAAACGCATTTACAAGCATTCGTCGCAAGTGCTAATCGTGCTGAGATGAGTGTATTCCAGATAAGGTGTGTGTGTGTGTGGGGGGGGGGGATGTTATTTGACCAACAAGAAGGCTACCCAATGCTCCATGATGTGATTACCCGCGAAAAATGAAAATTGACGAGTTTGGGGACATGTTTCGCTTTCAGCTAGTCGCCTCGTGTACAAACAATTCAATTTGGGCGTGAGCGAGCTCCATAATAGATTTACTCTCGCCTCACAATCGCTCTTTTTGTTCCATAATCAAATAGCCCCACTTCTGCTTACGCTCGTCTTCCGCAGTAGTGGGTAAACAGTTCCAGACGTTCTGGAATTAGAAGGTTTTGACACATGCAGGGTTGCCTCCCCTTTTGAACCAAGTTTAAAAATAGCAGCGTGATCTTTTGTTTTACGCAATGTGGCGACATACGGACGTCTGAAAGGTCATATATTCTTCTATCTTTTTTTGGGTAAATGACCTTTTGGATGAAAAAATAATGTTTGAAACCTTGGTTGTTTTGGACAAGCGTTGCAGAGACGTACGAGTCGCGTCTTTGTAGGGGTAGGGGAGATAACTCTTATCATGTGGCAAATTATTATGGGATATAAGGAAGGGGAGGTAATAGGGTTTATTTTGGAGGATCATCGTTTGACCCACAGGACATCAGCAGTTCAAGGCAAATCCCGATAATAAAGACGCACAATGACCAGAGATGACGAAGCAAGGGATAATACTTCTCCCGACACCCATAAACTCATCCCATCCCAATTATGTTTTCTACCACGGTCAATCTTCTCCAATCACCGGACAGTCGGTGTAACCAATCCGTGCACACTCGACTCTTCTGTCGCGGACGCTTAAAGTCGTTCAATCAGCCTGTCCCCACGTACACAACCCCGTCACAAAACAACTTCAGAATTCCTTATCGTGTCACGATCCAAACCCACAGCTGTCGAAACCCAACCTAGCACTCATTAAGCTTTCATTAGGTAAATGATTCTGTTAATTGTCCTCCCAATAGCGTAGTTACTTGATATTTACCAGTTAGAAAGGTCAAAAGCTGACGTGTGCTTGTTGATGAAAAATAAAAGCTATTACCCTGAGGAATAATAATATTATTTTAATTACAAATGTCGTATGGAAGTAGTGCTAAGCATGCAACAACTGATATAGGAGTCGGATGTCTTATCGCCGATTTGTTGATTCATAAAGAGACGAAGGTGACGTAGTCCCTCTGTAAAGGCAAACGTCATTTTTGTCAGAGAAGCGAAGCCTGGCGGAGAACTGGTTTGTTTATTGAGCGGTTGAGTGTTTGAGAGAGTTGAGAGAGAGAGAGTGTTTAAAAGATTTTGTGGTTGAGAGAGTGCTTGAAGAGTTTAGTGGTTGAAAGAGTGTTTAAATTGTTTATTGGTTGAGAGAGTGTTTTCTTTGTTGTTTAACGCTGCAATCAGCAATATTCCAGCTATATGACGGCGGTCTGTAAATATTCGAGTGTGGGCCAGACAATCCAGTGATTGTTTGTTGTTTAACGCCGCACTCAGCAATATCCCAGGTATATGACAGCGGTCCGTATACGTAAATAATCCAGTCCGGGCCAGGCAATCTGACATCATGGGCATCCATCTACGCAATTGGGATACAATGACATGCATCAACCAAGTCAGCCAGCGAATGATTGAGGGAGTTGAATCAAGGGGGCATATATTGTAGGATGAGTCAGCGAGGAAATAGAGTGCAGTGGGTGGTTGACTGAGTGAGTTGGCAAATAAGAGTAGACAGCAATATTTGCACTAGCTGACGACATAGAAAAGACTAATACAGGGTTGATATTGTTGGCATCCATTCACGTGGTCAGGGTATGACGTCACACTAAATCAACCAAGGCCAGTCTCTCCTATATATAGGGGTTCGTGTAAAAGTAAAAAATAAAGTTCCAAACTTGAATGTACGATAGACGTTTTGGAACAAGATGCAGAAAAGCCTTCTTCCTTCACGGCAAAACCTATATAGATTGTGAAACAAAATAAGGTTGTAAAAACCTTTAAAAGGGTATTAAATCTGCTCGTAGAAATACGATATATGGATTAGATACCCTTTAAGCACCGTGTATATGGCAAACATGATGATTCTTTTGATGTGGTATTGAAAGGGTATTAAATAGTTATTAACCATCCATGATCTTAATTTAGACGAAGTACGGTAACCTCTGCCCCAATGGGAGTTTCAGGTACCAAACAGGCAAGTCGTTAGAAGCTGAGCATTGTTTTCAACGCCACACAGGGGATATTTGTTTACGTCATTACGGAGCTAGAGTCATTAATGCATCTTAGTTGAGAAATATTTACTTTCTTTGAAACCATTAACCATTGCCTCGTGCACGTCAGTCAGGAATATGCTAGACAAACGCGTAGTCTCTGATAAGATGCTAGACTAACGCGTAGTCTCTGAAAAGATACTCAGCAAAAAAGTTTGGGGGATATATTTATGAACTGTTGTGCTCATTCTTCACAACAAAAAATAACCCCAACAATATTCATGATTTCTAACCTTTTTTGTTAAGTATATATCATTTTGATAGAAACAAACCACTACATTTCAATTGGGAGGAGCCCAAGTGAGATGGGAGTGAACCTGTGTAAAATCTAGACTTGCTTCATTGAGAGCTATAACATTTCAGTAAGGGCTGGGCAGAAGGGAAAATAAAATGGTTCAGGAACATTGAGACGGGCTAGGAATAATCACGCGATGGGTGATACCTTTAGAAGTATCAGTTTAATATAAATCAGAAACGTGGAAATCTTCCTTGCTTACAGCGACAACGCAATTTCCATGAAGTAAATAGTTCGGAGCACTAAACACGTGAACACGATGAACCAGGGCATTCGTTTGTTAACATTGCGCATGTACATGTTTGTGAGAGTGAGTTAATCG